TTAAACTAAAATACCCGGGAAATTTTTTTTTTTTCCCTTTTTTCCTTGTAATGACCCTCGTATTGTAGATAGTCTTAAAGACCTTGGGGGGTCGCAAAAATTTTTTTTTAGTATGATAAAAAGATGTTATCTTTATTGTAAACAAAAAAAGAAAATATTAAAAACCTTTAAAACAAAATAATAAGGAAAAGGACCCCAAAAGGGAAAAAAAGTCACTCTGGGGGCTTACTTTTTTGGGTTTATCCCAGGTTTTCTACACATATTTCTGCAAAATATAAAATTCTTGAAATGTATTTTTGTATAAACCCGAATAAACTTACTTACTTCCTTTCTTAACTTAAAATTTCTTACTTTAAAAAGGGGAAATGATGCCCCATCCTAACCCAACTAATTTTAAGTCCCGGCTGGGAAAAAACCCAGCTTTTGGGTTTTTAAACAAACTGTATATGTAAGGTAGTGTAGCAATCCCCGCCTAAAAACTGTTTAATTAATTCCTCCCTTACCTCAGTAAAAGGGGCTAATTGTTTATTTTAAAATTTTCTATTAACCTGGTTCCCCAAAGGGTTTTTATTAAAAGGGTTAAAGTAAGTATTCCCCGTCTTCCCAATAATGGTTCATTTTTTCCCCCTAAAAATCTACCTTTTCCCCTAATAACCATCACATTTGCCTTTTTCAGCTTTTCGGGAAATGAAAAACTAGGTCTTTCCCTTTATTTTATCTTCCCCCAAAAGCTAGTGTTGGTTTCTGTGATCCGAACATACGACGGTGTGAGTGCCTCAGAGCTAATTTCATTCTACTCCCTGTTTGGTTTACTAGCGTCCACAAGCAGTATATATAGTATATACAAGAGAGTAAAATAAAATTAGCTCTGAGGCACCCACACCATCGTATGTTCTCGGATCACAGTACAACACCTAGCTTTGCTGGGTGCGTGATTTTTGTAGAACTGTATGGTCCAGTGGGTTAAAATGTCGTGAATTTTCGCTCACCATGAGGCTGGCTAAAACAACACGAGTTGGATCCCCCGGCTAGTCGCAGTGTTGTTATTGATTAAATATCACTCGTTCGTGGTTACAATATATATATATATATATATATATATATATTATATATAATATATATACACACACACACATGCACACACATATTACAACGTAATATAGTAGGATGAACGCGAAAATTAATCAACAAAGTTTACGCTAGTTTAATTAACTGGCAATCAGGGCATTATGGCCTTGAGTTGAGCAAATTTGCGTATGTGCTTGTGGCGGAGGTGAGATTAACGAGTGAGTGAGTCAGTGTCAACAGAGTGAGGAACAGTGTCACCGCTGCTGCCACTGCTGAAAGATTTACTGTGCTCAGTGGAAAATCTAGTTGCTAAGACTTAGAACGACCGATGTGCTCTCTCTCTCTCTCTCTCTCTCTCACCTGTCTTGGCACTAAGAGCCTGCTAATCATGGAAGTAATTGCTCATTAATGATCATCAATGTGTTGAGCGCTATCAATAAGCAATCTATGGTCACTGTTATGGTGCTCTTATTGGGAATGAACACGGTACTCAGTGCTAGAGGAGTGAACACAGCACTCACGAGAGTGCTGAAGGAGTGAACACAGCACTTAGAGAATGTTGAAGTGAACACAAAACTGAGTGTGTTCAAGGAGAGAACACAACACTGAGAGAGTGCTATGTTTCACAACAGATGGAATTAACAAATACTTTGTAACTCTGTTTTTTTTCCTCTGAGTATGTCAAGCACTTTAATTACTTTTCCAATATTTCTCGAACAACACTTCAGAGTGAGACAGGTGTACAGGTTTATCTTGTGGAGTCTTCTACTGTATGGTATTATGAAAGACTGTTTATGTCCTTAATGGTAGTTGTCAGGCTTGCCAACCTTGCATACCATAATTGTTATGTAGTGTACAGTACTGTGCATATTAATTGGGACAGTAATGAAATAAAACATATTTGGAAAATTAATGTTCATTCGAAAAATGCACGGCAATGACAGATAATTGATTTAATAACAGATATGACTACCCCTTGCTTTTACAAGCACTTCTGCATGCTTTGGCATATAATTAACCAATGTTGAACACATTATAGCAAGTTCTTCGTCATGTTACAATATCCTAATAACAGCAGCAATTAGGTTCCCTACATCTAAACGGTCCTGTTTCGCGATCCTGCTTGTGGTTACTGACCATAGATTCTCAACCGAGTTGAGGTAAGGAGAGTTTCCAGGCCAGTTTAGAACGGTTAGCCCACTCTCTCTGAAGAATGTCAGCATTTTTCTGGAAGTGTGGCATGGAGCAAAATCCTGCTGGAAAATACCTTCTCCATCAGGAAAGTCTCTAGCCAAAATGGGAAGCAAATGAGTTTCCAGGATTGCCTTATATTTGTCATTGTTCATAGTGAGGGAACTATGAACAAGCCGTCCAGGGCCTTTAGCAATAAAAACTACCCCAAAATATCTTAAGTGAGTATTTTGGCGTTTGTTGACTGTATCCATTCCGAAGAGGTCCGCCTTTGCTCCGTCTCACTACGACTGATCTGTACCCATGTACTTCAAAATGCGACACATCTGGATATATAACTTTTCTCCATTCATCTGTTGTCCATCCCTTATGATCGAGTGCCCACCGAAGCAGTTTTTTCCTCATAGCAGCAGTCAATAATTGCTTCTTTATCGGCTTTCTGGGAGTTCTGCTAACTTCATGGAGGCTTTGTCTAACAGTTGAAGAATCAACATTTACGCCAGCAGAAGCCAAATCCCTCTGTAGATCTCTGCTGGGTTTCTTGGGATCCTTCACACTATTTCTTATGATAACCTTGTCATCGTGAGGTGTTGTCTTGCGTTTTTTCCACATCTTCCTCGACGCAGCGCTCCACAATCACCAGTGTCGTCAGCTCATTTCAGAATCTGACCAACAGTTGACTTTGCTAGGCTCAAATTTTTGGCGATCTACCTGATACTCAAATCAGCATATTTTCTAAGAGCTACAATACTTACACGCTTTCTAGATGTAACATCCATCATGAATTTCAGCAGTAACCATGAATTGAGGGAGAGAATTTGGTGAAACCACATTCATTCAGAAGCATGCTTGCAGGAATAGCCTTAGAGAACAACAGCTGTTGTAACACTGACGAAAGTCTCAGGGTAACACCACAGCTGGATGGTTATTAGAAGTCGGTAGTAAACTCTTCTGAAAAGAAAAGAACTCAAACTACATTAACTAAGCCGGAGACTAAGACATATTATGAGATAATCACAAAATTTACTCCTGTCCCAATTATTTTACACACTACTGTACATGTGGCTTGGGCGAGATGGTTGCTGTGGTCTCCTGAGTCATCTCTCACGTTCAGTGCTAAAGGCTCTTCACTCTTTCTCTGTTCTGTCTCAACTCTCATCTGCCTCTCTCAGATTTTCATAATCTTGCACTTGTTGGTATTGAATTCTAGTGGCTACCTGTCTGACTGTTCTTGCGATCTGTCCAAGTCTTCATACAGTTATCTGCAAACTGGGATACACAGGAGTCATCCTCTGGTAACTTTTAACGCACATCAGAAATCGCATAGATCCTAACACTGATACTTAAGGGACCCTGTTAGTCACCCTTGCTAAGCATGTTTCATCTCTGTTGCCATCTTTTCTCTTCAGATATTCACTGAGCAACTGAAGCACCTTTCATTTTACTCGTTCCTGTACTTTCTAATTCATAGAACAGTCTCTGATTGGGAGCATTCTCTTCAGGGTCTTTCTGCAGCTCTAAAATATGTCCAGCCACTGTTATCATTCTCCGCTTGATCTGCACAGTCTTCATCTACACAGATGGACCACAAATCCTCAAAAACACTGAACTCTCTGTAAGACCCACAGTATGAATACCTCGTTCCATCCCAAACAATGATAGAAATTACAATACCAACGCTAGTAGGTTAGTGAGGAAGAATTTAACCTCCCAATTCACACTGATATTTGGTAACAAAACCTTTCTTGTTTCACTAGGCTCTTTTTTTTTATTATCGTTTCTAACAATTTAGATAAAAATGATACAAGTCTGTAGCTGAGAGTTTCCTGTTGAGACCATATATTCAGTGCAGGAGGTTCCCTGTATTGTGTGGCTTGTAGATAAATCTTGGTCCTTGTAGTGCTTCAGGCTTCAAGTAGCCATCCTTGGCAAAGCAACTACAGTATCTGGACCTCAACTGTCAACTAGGTTTGACATCGTGTCGTTATTTTATTGCACTCCTATCCATGGAGGTAGCTATATGAAGGTAAAGAAGAGGAGCATACCACAACTCGTTCATAACTCCACACAACCTCTCTTCACATCGTGGACCACATCAAAGCGGACACACATGCGAGAGGAGCCCTTAACAACACTGGTCCTCAACAAGCTGTAATGAGCGCTGCCTCTCTAATGATCCTACCTAACGAAGGTATTCACGCCAGGGGCATAACCCATGTAAGCTCTCTCTCTCTCTCTTCTCTCTCTCTCTCTCTCTCTCTCTCTCTCTCTCCTTCTCTCTCCTTCTCTCTCTCTCTCTCTCTCTCTCTCTCTCTCTCTCTCTTTTCTCTCTCTCTCTCTCTCTCTCCCTCACACAACACACACACACACACGCACACACACACACACACACACACACAACACACACACACAGGCCTGCTACCTGTTGATAACACGGCAATTGCTTCAAGTAGTTGGTACTTCCATTATGGCGTCTTAGGTTATTTACCACGCCTCCGTCCATGACCACTCCTTCACCCACTCACACACACACCCACTCTTTCACCCTCACACGCCCACTTTCTCTCTCTCTATTTTTCTCTCTCTCTCACACACACGCCAACACTCACACTCACCATCAACACCACAGATTGCACACGAATACAAATGATGCATGAACTTAGCTTAACCTCGCCCTGGGTAGCTGGACCTCACCACGAGTAGTTTAACCTCGCCATGGGTAGTGTAACCTGGGTACTCACCAGTCTTGAACACTGTTGAAAGACTCTTCGTTAGTGATGTCGTACATGAGAATGAAGCCCATAGCGCCCCTGTAATATGCTGTGGTGATGGTTCGGTATCGTTCCTGCCCAGCCGTGTCCTGGGGAACAACACATTGGTTACACTCAGTAAATAACACCTTAGTTAATATTGTCCTAGCAAGCTACACCTTGGTTAACAGTGTCCTAGCAAGCTATACCTTGGGTAACAGTGTCCTAGCAAGCTACACCTTGGTTAACATTATCCGAGCAAGCTACACCTTGGGTAACAGTGTCCTAGCAAGCTACACCTTGGATAACAGTGTCCTCAGTCCTTAAGCTATACCTTGGGTAACAGTGTCCTAGCAAGCTACACCTTGGTTAACATTATCCGAGCAAGCTACACCTTGGGTAACGTGTCCTAGCAAGCTACACCTTGGTAACAGTGTCCTAGCAAGCTACACCTTGGATAACAGTGTCCTGGCAAACAATACCTTGGGTAACAGTGTCCTAGCAAACAACACCTTGGTTAACATTATCCGAGCAAGCTACACCTTGGGTAACTGTCCTAGCAAGCTACACCTTAGGTAACAGTTCTAGAAGCTACCCTTGGGTACAGTGTCCTGGCAAACAATACCTTGGGTAACAGTGTCCTAGCAAGCTACACCTTGGTTAACATTATCCGAGCAAGCTACACCTTGGGTAACTGTCCTAGCAAGCTACACCTTGGATAACAGTGTCCTGGCAAACAATACCTTGGGTAACAGTGTCCTAGCAAGCTACACCTTGGTTAACATTATCCGAGAAAGCTACACCTTGGGTAACTGTCCTAGCAAGCTACACCTTGGATAACAGTGTCCTAGCAAACAATACCTTGGATAACAGTGTCCTAGCAAACAATATCTTGGTTAACAGTGTTCTAGCAAACAATACCTTGGGTAACAGTGTCCTAACAAACAACACCTCAGGTAAGAGTGTCCTAGCAAACAATATCTTGGGTAACAGTATCCTAGCAAGCTGCACCTTGGTAACAGTGTTCTAGCAAGCTACACCTTGGGTAACAGTGTTCTAGCAAGCTACACCTTGGGTAACAGTGTCCTAACAAACAACACCTCAGGTAAGAGTGTCCTAGCAAACAATATCTTGGGTAACAGTATCCTAGCAAGCTGCACCTTGGGTAACAGTATCCTAGCAAGCTGCACCTTGGGTAACAGTGTTCTAGCAAGCTACACCTTGGGTAACAGTGTTCTAGCAAGCTACACCTTGGGTAACAATGTTCTAGCAAGCTACACCTTGGGTAACAGTGTCCTAACAAACAATATCTTGGGTAACAGTATCCTAGCAAGCTGCACCTTGGGTAAGAGTGTCCTAGCAAACAATATCTTGGGTAACAGTAACCTAGCAAGCTGCACCTTGGGTAACAGTGCTTTAGCAAGCTACACCTTGGATAACAGTGTTCTAGCAAGCTACACCTTGGGTAACAGTGTCCTAACAAACAATACCTTGGCTTACAGTGTCCTGGGACCAAAAACATGTTTTGCGGAACACAAAAATTCTCAATTGTTTACATCCTGAGAGGCTGTAAAGCGTGCAGGGGCAAATAGATAAGATACCCGTGGACACATGCATTAGTCTGATCCTCTAAGAGCTGAGGTGTGTGGCACAGGGCTACTACTCAGGCCTGACTGGGAAGGAAGAGGTAGGCACACAGCTCTGATGAAGGAACAAAGCTCTGAAGAAGGAACACACAGCTCTGAAGAAGGAAGACGCACACATCCCTGATGAAGAGGGAACACACAGCACTGATGAAGGAAGAAACACAGCTCTGATGAAGGAACGCACAGCTCTGAAGACGGAAGAAGGAACACACGTCTGATGAGAACGAAGGAAGTGCCAATTCCGATGAGGAAGAAAGGAATTTGCAGCTCTGGCCAGGAAGAATGGAAGGAACAACACTGAGTACTCAACTACCTAACACCAGCAGGAGTCAACAATCACACCGTAATAAGCTATGAATGCTTAGTATAAGTAAGAGAAGGAAGGAGACGGGACAGAGAAATGAAGAGTAACTCTGACAAGACCAAACAAAAATTTGAGATGTACTAAACAGGGAACAGTAAGAAAGGGATGGTGGTGGACCTGACCATGAAGTTCCCAGAGGCTGCAATAGAAAGTTTCACATCAATCACGAGGTATGAAAACTAATACTACGGAGAGGATGATTAATATTATCACAGCTGCAGAGAGGCCAAAGAAAACGGAAAATACGAGCATTGAAGAAATACAAAACACGGAGGACGACAGAGAACAAGAATTATAGCTACTGTAATGAAAGACCCATACAAGTTTAGCGCTTTATTGTAAATATTGTAGCGCAAATAAGAGCCTGGAATGAATGTACTAGGATGAGAAGGGAAGCAGAGAGGCAAGTGAAGAAGACAAGTGTGTAGGGTCAAGTTATCGAAGCTGTGTTAGAAGACAACCTTGAAGGATCAAGTTATCACAACTGTGTTAGAAGACAACCTTGAAGGATCAAGTTATCATAACTGTGTTAGAAGACAACCTTGAAGGGTCAAGTTATCATAACTGTGTTAGAAGACAACCTTGAAGGGTCAAGTTATCGCAGCTGTGTTAGAAGACAACCTTGAAGGATCAAGTTATCACAACTGTGTTAGAAGACAACCTTGAAGGATCAAGTTATCGCAGCTGTGTTAGAAGACAACCTTGAAGGATCAAGTTATCACAGCTGTGTTAGAAGACAACCTTGAAGGATCAAGTTATCACAGCTGTGTTAGAAGACAACCTTGAAGAATCAAGTTATCGCAGCTGTGTTAGAAGACAACCTTGAAGGATCAAGTTATCGCAGCTGTGTTAGAAGACAACCTTGAAGGATCAAGTTATCACAGCTGTGTTAGAAGACAACCTTGAAGGATCAAGTTATCACAGCTGTGTTAGAAGACAACCTTGAAGGATCAAGTTATCACAGCTGTGTTAGAAGACAACCTTGAAGGATCAAGTTATCACAGCTGTGTTAGAAGACAACCTTGAAGGATCAAGTTATAAGACTAAAGAAGAGATTATAACTCACAGAAGATAACATAAGAGGTGAGGAACTAAGCAGGAAATTCATGCACGTATTCACCCTGTCTATCTCATTCTTTCACTATCTCTTTTTTATTCCTCCTCTCTTCCTCTCTCTCTCTCTGTCTTGACTCTTCTTCATCCTCCCTCTTCTCTCATATTATTTACATCCTCTCATACACTACTCTCCTTCCCTCTCCCTCTCCTACCCATCCACCCTCCCTCCTTCCCACTCTACCTCCCACTCTCCTTCCTTCCCTCCTTCACTGCTTTCACGACTTTCCATATCATCTCTCCCTTAATACACACAATCCTTATTTAATGAAACAATTGTATAGTTTGTTACGAGATAAATCACAGTAATATTGAAATAACCTCCCACTTCACCCTGCCTAATATATATAAATATATATATATATATATATATATATATATATATATATATTATATATATATATATATATATATATATATATATATATATATATATATATAAGTTTCGTTGCAAACCTTTGACCATTTCTCAAAGTGTGTGCAGGTGTTTAACCACCTCGTCGTCTGATACCTTCCACCACCTGCTGCGTGTGTGTGTGTGTGTGTGTGTGTGTGTGTGTACTCACCTAATTGTGGTTGCAGGGGTCGAGACTCAGCTCCTGGCCCGCCTCTTCACTGATCGCTACTAGGTCCTCTCCCTCATTGCTTCCTGAGCTTTGTCATACCTCTTCTTAAAGCTATGTATGGTTCCTGCCTCCACTACTTCACTTGCTAGGCTATTCCAGTGTGTGTGTGTGTGTGTGTGTGTGTGTGTGTGTGTGTGTGTGTGTGTGTGTGTGTGTGTGTGTGTGTGTGTGTGTGTGTGTGTGTGTGTGTCGTGTGTGTGTGTCGTGTGTGTGTGTCGTGCGTGTGTGTCGTGTGTGTGAGTCGTGTGTGTGTGTGTGTGTGTGTGTGTGTGTGTGTGTCGTGTGTGTGTCGTGTGTGTGTGTCTTGTGTGTGTGTCTTGTGTGTGTGACGTGTGTGTGTGTCGTGTGTGTGTGACGTGTGTGTGTGTCGTGTGTGTGTGTGTGTGTGTGTGTGTCGTGTGTGTGTGTCGTGTGTGTGTGTCGTGTGTGTGTGTCGTGTGTGTGTGTGTGTGTGTGTCGTGTGTGTGTGTGTCGTGTGTGTGTGTGTGTCGTGTGTGTGTCGTGTGTGTGTCGTGTGTGTGTGGTGTGTGTGTGTGTGTGTTGTGTGTGTGTGTGTGTGTGTGTGTCTCGTGTGTGTGTGTGTCTCGTGTGTGTGTGTGTGTGTCGTGTTTGTGTGTGTGTCTCGTGTGTGTGTGTGTGTGTGTGTGTGTGTGTGTGTGTGTGTGTGTGTGTGTGTGTGTGTATGTGTGTGTGTGTGTGTGTGTGTGTGTGTGTGTGTGTGTGTGTGTGTGTGTGTGTGTGTGTGTGTGTGTCTGTCTGTCGTGTGTTGTGTGTGCGTGTGTGTGTGTGTGTGTGTGTGTGTGTGTGTGTGTGTGTGTGTGTGTGTGTGTACTCACCTATTTGTACTCACCTATTTGTGGTTGCAGGGGTCGAGTCACAGCTCCTGGCCCCGCCTCTTCGCTGATTGCTACTAGGTCCTCTCTCTCCCTGCCCCATGAGCTCTATCATACCTCGCCTTAAAACTATGTATGGTTCCTGCCTCCACCACATCACTTTCTAGGCTATTCCACGGCCTGACTACTCTATGACTGAAGAAAAACTTCCTAACATCCCTTTGATTCATCTGAGTCTTCAACTTCCAATTGTGACCTCTTGTGTCTGTGTCCCATCTCTGGAACATCCCGTCTTTGTCCACCTCGTCTATTCCCCGCAGTATTTTTATATGTCGTTATCATGTCTCCCCTGACCCTCCTGGCTCCAGTGTCGTCAGGCCGATTTCCCTCAACCTTTCTTCATAGGACAATCCCCGTAGCTCTGGGACTAGTCTTGTTGCAAACCTTTGCACTTTCTCTAATTTCTTGACGTGCTTGACTAGGTGTGGATTCCAAACTGGTGCTGCATACTCCAGTATGGGCCTGACGTAGATGGTGTTACAGAGTCTTAAACGAATCCTTACTGAGGTATCGGAACGCTATC